ATTTGCACTTATTCCCACGTTGCCCCAGGGATGGTTTTCACTCTCCAGGGCAACACCCCTTGGTGGGACAAGAATGGCTGAGGGTCTGCCTTCCTTTCAGAGTGAAAGATCATCATACAGGACCCCCTTAAGCCAGGTGTGCTCTGCAGCAGCTGAATTTTAGGAGGTGTAATAGAGGATGACTTAAAATAATTCCCTTAAACTATCCTTGTGTGGGTACCCCAGGAAGTCTTCATACCCCCAGGGTCATGTGAACCCAGAGCACTGTTGTGAAGAGTAGGACTGCATTTACTCAGCATCGCGGCCTAACTGCATGGCCTGGAGGAAGTGAGTAGAGGGAAGACCCTGCATTAACAGCATCTCATCTAGACAGCACTGAGAAGAGACGAGCTGGTGAGAGGGAGGAGGCTCTTCCTCTGAGTAAACAAACCAACCTGGCAAGGGTTCAGGGTAATGTGCTTAGAAGGCATAATCCTAACTCTGAGAATACAGCGAAAGGTTCTGCACTGTCAATTAACATCCAAGAATAGGACAGCCCAGACTTCTTGCCTGCATCTGCCCCCACAGCCTGGCACCAAACAGCTGACTGGCCCAGTGGGGGACACCTCACCCAAATGGGACAATAACATTCTCTCTCTCCTGGAATTTAGGGCATGTTGCCAGCAGCTGGACAACCATTTCCTTCCAAATCCAGTGAGAAACAGAGAAAGCTGGTCTGCAGAAACAGAATTAAACAGCTGCATAATCAAGAGAGTGACAGAAAGGACAGGTGCCTTGGACCCAAAGGCAGTCCTTGTGAGGCCCAGCTTCACTCAGGTTCTGAAAAATTTCCCTTTCTGTATCAGCTGGATTTAATGAACTTCTGGAACTTGCAATCAGAAGAGGTTTGGCTCAGACAGGAGTCACTAGAGACTATCCCTGAGGAAGTCAGCCCAATAGACCAATACATTCAGCATTATCAGTAAGTACTCTGGGCCAGGCAAGTGGCTCACATCTGTAATCCCAACACTTTGGGAGGCTAGGGCAGGAGGACTGCTTGAGGCCAGGAGTTCAAGACCAGCCTGGGCAACACAGCAACAAGACCTCGTCTCTACCAAAAGCATGTTGCAGCAGCGCCTACAGACCCACTACGTAGGAGGGTGAGGTGGATCACTTGAGCCCAGGGAGTCAAGACTACAGTGAGCCAATACCAAGCCACTGCACTCCAGTCTGGGCGACAGAGTGAGACCCTGTCTCAAAAAAAGAAAAATGAAATTACCTTTTCATTATTATGAGTGATGCTGAGTATCTTTTTTTAAAAAATGTTTTATTCTTTTTAAAGGTAAGTTGTATTTCCTTTTTTTATGAGCTATCTATTCATGTACTTTGCCCATTTATCTCTAGAATACCTTTTTTTTAAAATTCTTTAGAGACTGGCTCTTGCCCTGTCACCCAGGCTGAAATGCAGGGGCACAATCTCAGCTCACTGCAGCCTTGACCTCCTGGGCTCAGGCGATTCTCCTGCCTCAGCCCTTTTTGTATTTTTGTAGAGACGTTTCATCATGTTGCCCAGGCTGGTCTTGAACTCCTGAGCTGAAGTGGTCGGCCACCTCAGGCTCCCAGCATGCTGGGATTATAGGTGTGAGTCATGGCGCCCGGCCTAGTAAGGCAATTTAAACCACAAAGAAATGTTATCACTTAGAGGATTGGCAAAGATCACAAAGTTTGGTAATATTTTATGTAGACAAAGGTGAAGAGAAACAGGCACTCTCAACGCTGCTAGATAGGAATGTCAACCAGCACCGTATTTTTTTAGTAATTAGCACTATTGAAATTGGAAAATGCACATCCCCCTCACCCACTAAATCTCACGTCTAAAAATGGTCCTAGAAATATAGCCAACATTGTGTTAAATGACAGCTAAAGATGATGCATTCAAGTCAGATTTATAAAAACAAAAAATGTGAAACTGAATACCCTTCAAAAAGAGACTAAACTATGGTACATTCATAAAATAAAATCCAATGTAGAAAAATGAAACAGAACAACCTCTAAGCTACAAGTGAGATTTGGAAGGTATACGAACTACCATTTAGGCAAAAATAAAACAGGCAAAGAAAATGCATCGCCGGGCATGGTAGCTCACACCTGTCATCCCAACACTTCGGGACGCCAAGGCAGGTGGATCACCTGAGGTCAGGAGTTCAAGACCAGCCTGACCAACCCAGAGAAACCCCGTCTCTACTAAAAATACAAAATTAGCCGGTTGTGGTGGCGCATGCCAGTAATCCCAGCTACTCGGGAGGCTGAGGCAGAAGAATTGCTTGAACCCAGGAAGCAGAGGTTGTGTTGAGCTGAGATGATGCCATTACACTCCAGCCTGGCAACAAGAGCAAAACTCCATCTCAAAAAAAAGAAAGAAAAAGCGTGTATATATATTCATAGAATATACCTGATAATGAACAGAGGAAACTGAGGTAAGGAAAACACAAGGTCAGCATGGAAGCCATCTTGTCTGTCACAAAGTAGGGAGGTGATCAAAGACTAATAGGAGATGCTCACAGAACACAGAAGCCACATTTCAGCATCGAAATGAATAATGGCAGAGATGCTTATTATACATCAAATTAGGAAATTCAGTCAAATTTCTTTAAAGGCTCATCTTCACAGAAGAAATATCAAAAATGTAGAAGGAATGACAACAGAAAAAATCACTTTACAACCACCTTAGTAATAATTCAGTCAAGAATGACCAGCGAACACAGAATGCAAACTCCTGAGGAGACGATATTCCCAGTCTCAAATATCACCCCTCAGGCTACTTATTAATTGCAAAGGGGAAAGGGTATCAACTTGACAAGGGAGAAATCTGGCAGACACAACTTCAAATCACCAATAATGGGACAAGCTGGTATCAAGTACCACCTGACATAATGAGGACACCGTATCACCTATAAAGAACTCCTGACAAAAATGTTTAACCTGAAACCACAATGAGACAATCCGACAAATCCAAGTTGAGGAATGTCCTACTAAACAACTGACCTGGACTCTTCAAATAGGTCACTATTAGGAAGGGCACTGGGGACTGACTATTCTGGATAAAAAGAGACTGAAGAGTCACAACATGCCAGGCGCGGTGGCCCACGCCTCTAATCCCAGCACTTTGGGAGGCTGAGGCGGGAGGATCACAAGGTCAGAAGATCGAGACCATCCTGGCCAACATGGTGAAACCCCATCTCTACTAAAAATACAAACAATCAGCGGGACATGGTGGTGTGCACCTGTAGTCCTAGTTACTTAGGAGGCTGACTCAAGAGAATCGCTTGAACGCGGGAGGCAGAGATTGCAGTGAGCCGAGGTCATGCCACTGCTCTCCAGCCTGGAGACAGAGTGAGACTCCATCTCAAACAAACAAAAAAAGTAACAATAACTAAATGCAATGTATGATCCTTGGCTGGATCCTGGACCCAAAACAAAAACAAAAATGAACTGCATCTGCTGGTGAGAATGTTAAATGGTACAACTGAGTTGGAAACAGTCTGGCAGTTCCTCAAAATGTTAAACAGAGTTATCATATGACGCAGGAATTCCACTCCTAGGTAGATACCCAGGAGAAATGAAAACGTATGTCCACGTAAAAATTTGTTCACTATTGCTCACAGCAGCATTATTCATAACATCCCCAAAGTGGAAAGAACTCAAATGTCCATCCATAGATGGTAGATAAACAAAATGCAGTATATCCATTCAACTGAATACTATTCAGCCATAAAAAAGAATAAAGTATCAATTCATGCCACAACATGGATAAGCCTTAAAAACATGACACCAAGAGAAGCCAGTCACATACATCACACATCATATGATTATATTTATATGAAATGTCCAGGAAAGACAAATCCATAGAGACTGAAAATAGATGAGTGCTTGCTTTGGGCTGGGAGGTGGGAGTTGGGGAGGGAAGGCAAGTGATTGCTAATCGGTACAGGGTTTCTTTTTAGGGTGACAGAAGTGTTCTAAAATTGATTCTCATGGTGGCTATAAAACTCCAAATACAGTAAAAACCAATGAATTGTATACTTTAGGTGAACTGTACAGTATGTAAATTATATTCCAATAAAGCTGTTATTTTTTTTTAAACACAACTATAAAGAACTCATTATTAGAACAACTGGGGAAATTTGAAAGTAAACTATATATTAGATGATAGTATTGTGATAAATGTTAACTTTATTGAGTCTGACAACTGGATTCTGGTTATAAAGGAACACATGTCCTTACTCAGGAGATACTTGCTAAAGTATTTATGGCTGATTTATAATTCCATAACAATCTTAAGTGATTCAACAAAAACCAGATCTATGTGTGTGTGCACGTATGCATTGTGTGTGCCTGTGTGAGAGAACAAGAAAAAGCAAAGGTGCGAATATATTGGTAACTGGTGATCTAAGTGAAGGATATACAGGTATATATTGTACTATGCTTAGTCTTTCTGTAGTCTGAAAATTTTCAAAATAAAAACTTGGGGGAAATACCAGAGAATAAAATTTAGCTTTGCAGATAGATATATATATACACACACACACACACACACATATATATATATCACTGCATAGCTACTACTGAGTATTTTCAAATCACCATATTTTATCCTGAGCAAGAGGTCACTGTTCTGTGCTATGGTAAGATACAAACCATTCCTTTATATATAATAAAACTCCACCTTTTTTCAAAATTAATATAGGGTAAGTGAAGTCTACCAATCACGACAGCAAAGGAAATTAGTGTCTAAATGAACTGTGAGTTACAGGCACATTTCACTAAGGGGCAGGCAGGTTTTTATTAAAAACCATACGGTAATCATCAATATGCCATTAAGACTCCTATTATGAGGCTTTTAGGAATCATTTTGTAAAGATTATCTGGTGCCTAATTAACAACAAAGAAATTAGACTCAGGTTTAAGATGCTGCTGGTGTTCTGAAATTACTCTGAAAGGTCATTCAAAGAACTTCAAACTTAAAATGTTTCATTCATGTATTTATTCCACAGTCAAAATAAATCATAATTTAAAGCTATAACATTTTTAAAAGATAAAGGAGAATTTGTGGCACAGCTGCATTAACAAAACAGACACCAGTCTAAAGTGCAACACTAAACAGGTGTTCTCTGTTCCCATGGTGGAATAAATACACACAGTTACACATAAGATTTCACTGACAATAGGAGATGAGGCAAATAACCCTTTGAAATTAACTGTCCAACGAATAGAGGCAGGCTACATTAATTTAACATTTTACTGCAAAATGGGAAAAATCCCCGAGGCGACTAACTCAAACCCCTCATTTCATGCACATGACCTTGGCTTCTGTGTTCTTTCCACAGCCACATCCAAATCCAGAAAGTCTTCTGCACCCCGTGCTCAAAAATGCACCCTCAAGTCCCTGAGGTCCTCAGCACAGACCGACGTTAACAAGCCTGTGTGCAGCCTTCATCTAGAACCTCCAGGGAAATCAGGAGCACAAACACAAAGCAAAGCACCATTTCTTTAAACAATGGCTTCAACTGTCAAATGAGCTCTGACAAGTCATATGCATTTCATAAACAAACCAAAACATCATCTTCATATCTTCCTATTTTTCTTGCAAAAATATTAAGCCATCCAAGTAAAAAAAAAAATTTTAATTTAACAATGAAAAAGGAAATTCAAAGGGTTAATGCCAAAAAACAAACCAGTCCTCTGCAGCCTAACTCATTTGTTTTTAGGCTGCGAAGCCATGTAGAGGGCAATCAGGCAGTAGATGGTCCCTCCCAGAGTCAGCGCCATGGTGGTCCGGTAAAGCATTTGGTCAGGCAGGCCTCGTTTCAGGTAGATGGGCACACCATCAGCTTTCTTGAAAGCAAGAATTAACAAGGGCATGGTTGAGAAGAAAAATATTTTACAATTTTATTCTTTAAATAAAAAAAAAAAAAAATTTGTCTACTCTGTAAGTAATTCATCAAAACGTGACAGTGGGAAAAGCCCTAATCCATGGAACGCTAGTAGATGTTCCTATAAATGTAGCTAAAGCTTGTAAATCCAAAGTCATTCTCCAAAATGCTGCCTCAGGGAACATGTATGCAAAAGATTCCAAATGTCTAAGACATTTATCATATATTGCTTAACTGGAGCATTGGTGCATTTTTTAAAAGGCAAAGGTAACCAGTAGCTAAAAGAAGTGCAGGCAGGAGAGGCTGGGCGCAGTGGTTCACACCTGTAATCCCAGCACTTTGGGAGGCCGAGGCAGGCAGATGGCTTGAGCCCAGGAGTTCAAGACCAGCCTGGGCAACACGGCAAAACCCTGTCCCTACAGAATAACTAAAATTAGTCAGGTGTGGTGGTGTGTGCCTGTAGTCTCAGCTATTAGGGAAGCTGAGGTGGGAGGATCACTTGAGCCCAAGAGGTCAAGGATGCAGTGGGCCGTGAGTGGGCCGTGAATGTGCCACTACACTCCAGCCTGGGTGACAGAGTAAGGCTCTGTGTTAAAACAGATAAAAAGAGGTGCTGGCACGAGAAACGTTCTCCATTTAGTTTGGCTTCTGATTATAAGTGGATGGGATTGGAGTACTTCATGTCAATAAAAAGGTTCAAGTCCATTTGGGATTCAACTGCCCTCTTTCCGTCACACTGTTAAACCCATTTAATAATCAAATTCCATGAGATATTTAAATCATAATCATCATCACCATCATCATCATCATCTTAGAGACTGGGTCTCACTCTGTTACCCGGGCTGGAATGCAGTGGCTCAATCATAGCTCACTGCAGCCTCAAAATCCTGGGCTAAAGTGATCCTCCCGCCTCGGCCTCTGGAGTAGCTGGGGTTACAGATGCGTGCCAACACACTCAGCTAATATTTTTTGTAGAGACAGGGTCTCGTTATGCTGCCCAGGCTGATCAAGCAATCCTCCTACCCTGGCCTCCCAAAGTGTTGGGGCTGCAGAAGTGAGCCACCGCACCTGGCCTGTTTAACTCATATTTTGCAGTGTCCAAAATCCCTACCCACTGCACCCTGAGATTCTAAATGCTCTCTCAAACCTTACTTATCAGATAAAAAGAGATTAAACTAATCAAAACAGAAGTGCTCTATCCTCAAGATGGGTCTGGACCTGGACTACTTCTGAGGAGGAGAAGCTACCTTACAGCAACAGCAGTAGCAAGCACTGCCATGGCACTGAAGATTTGGTCAGGTCACTAACTTCTCAATCATTTGCAGGTAGTTTCACTCTAATAATATTTTCAATTCCAATGCTGGCTTCTCTGTTGATACGCAAACCCATAAGCACCTCCTCTACTTTCAGCAATAGCTCAGTGAATTTTAATATCAAGCAAGCAAAGAACAATTAGAAAAAAACTCACTGCCAAGTCACTACATGTGTCACAAAGTCAAATATACATATTGGGTTATTCAGTTATACAGGCTATTCAGCTATAGAGGCTATTCCTTCTTCCATGCAATAAATGATCAAGAGCTATTCATGCCATTTCAAAACCCTCATACCCTTAAATACTAATGAGGAAATTAACCACCCTCCCCTCTTTAATCAGTATCTACCTATATAAAGTTCTATTCGTTTATGGCTCAAACTAAAATCAAGAGAATACTACTTAAAGAAAAAAGAAGGAGGTTGGATAGTACACTGGATTAAGATTTAGTTTCATAAGGGATTTTTTAAGCCTATGTATTTCACAGGCTTCTCTGCTGTAGAGTATCTTCCCTCACCTGGAAAAACTTCTGTAGCTCTGGAACTCTGTTTTTCCCAGCATAGTCATACACTGTGGAATCGGAGGTCAGTTTAGTTGGTGTGGCAAATATGATAGGTGGTGCTTCTGTGGAAACCACAGGCTTTAACCCCTGTAGAGAAAAAAAGGAAAATGGCAAGTTGAAAGTATGTCTGAGGAGACTGTCTGGAATAGTGGAGGCAGCCATTCAACCATGAGACAGAAAGAAAATCTCTCCAGCTTTCCCAGAGCAAACCCTGTCAAGAACCCCTTGCCATCATGATTGCAGGGAGAGGGTGAGGGTCAGGGGGACGACAACGAAGGCCCAGTCTGAGCTTCCAGAAATACCTGGTGGGTCTTATCTTCTTAACAAACCAGTAAAACATCTATAATTTGTTATGAACTTGTCATTAGCTTTTATGAGGAATCTGTCTGCCCCTTTTTTCTTCCAAATGAGCTAATCTAGTAACATGGAATGTCTAACCCCAGAGCGAACTTCAGAAACTTTTCCCAACACAATAAAGAAATATTCAACGTGGAACAGCTTTACTGGTTTAAAACAAAACTAAACAAACAATACTTGCCTTCAAGGACCAGAACACAAAATCAAAACAAAAAATTTTTTGAAATGAACTTTTCAGCATAAATAAACCCATAACTGAAAACACATATAGTAAAAATTTAAACAAGGTGAAGGGGGAGGAAGTACTGATACATGCTACAACATGGATAAGCCTCTAAAACATTATGCTGGGTCAAAGAAACCAGTCCCAAAGACCACATACTGTATGATGCCATTCATAGGAAAGTCTAGAAGAGGGAACCGTAGAGACAGAAGGTAGGTTAATGGTTGCTTCAGGTGGGGGCTTGGGAGCTAGGGAGGTAACAGTTAAAAGGTATATTGGTATCCTTTTGAGGTGATAAAAAACGCTCTAAAATTAACTGTGGTGGTAGTTGCATGTATCTGTGAATACACTAAAAACCCCTAAATTGTACCCTTTAAATGGGCATATTGTATGCTATGCAAATTATATCTCAATAAAGCTGCTTTAAAAAAAAGGGAGGGAGCTCTGGTTTTTTTAATCTTAAAGGAGTAAACCTACAGTGACAAATACATACAGTAATCCAAAATAACCTGTAAATTAAAATAAGGAGCTAAGAGTTATAAGCCAATAAAAATCATCCTTTTATTTAAATTCTAACTAAGAAAAATAAAAATTTAAGGTCAGAAAGCAGAATTCAAATCCAGCCTTTTCCTTTCACAAAGAAGGAAACCTCTTGCCCAAATACAGTCATCAGTCTTGTCTCAAAGAAATCTAAATTTACTTATAATTGACAGGGCCTATTATAAAGATTAGATATTGAAAACCTCAATGCTACTCCCACCAGGCAAGCATTAGATGAACAGGTCAATAAAAAAAGCATTAAAGTAAACTTGGCTTCTATTTCTTCTGACACAGTACAATAAATGGGAATGAACCATGGCCTGTTTTCTGTAATGTATTCATTCATTCAACATTTATTACTGATCACTAACTCTGCACTAGAATAATGTATTCATTCATTCAACATTTATTACTGATCACTAACTCTACACTACAATAAATAAGATCGCCACAATCTCAGCCACCATGGATATTAACGTTATAAACCAACAGCAGCTAATATCTATTTAACCCTTGTGAAGTGTCAGTATTATGTTAAACATTTCATATGCATTACCTCACTTAATTCTGACAGCAACCCTATGAAGATATTACTATTCCCATTTTTCAGAGGAAAACAGTGGAGAGAGAATAACTTGCCTTAGATCAAATAGTGAAAAGCGAGTCACGTTTTCAAACTCACGCCTTTTTCAAGTCCAGAGCCCTGGCTTTTAAGTATTCCACAACTCACACCCCACCCTCCCCCATCAACTATTCTTAAAAACAACAGCCCATTTAAAGAGAAAGTTTGGTCAGTAAGATGTCGGCCTACATTCAGAAATATAACACACTCCAAACAGAGCGTCAGAGGAGTCAGAGAGGCAAACAGAGGCTCTGCGATCAAGATCAAAAGGCTAACAAGGATCGTGGTTTGAACTGGATACAGAATGTCAGATACTCCTTTATATCATTCTGGGAGCTCACCATATTTTCTCCTTGAAATAACCATTTCTTCTTGAACGCAAAAATGTAAAAACCCTTTCTACCAAGGATCTACAAAAATGGTTTGAAAGTAAATTCATGATTCAACAGGACTACTGTGAGAGTATTTTTGAAGGGATTATATTTGTTTGTCCAACCATGCAGTGATTCAAAACTACAGCAAGGTTTTTGAACAGTATCATCTGAAAACAGGAATATCAACCATCGTAATTTTAAATTAATTCCATATTTCCCTTTATAATATTGTAAAAATTTATAGAATTGAAGTTACCTATAATCTCATTATCTTATCCCATTAATTGTTATAAATTGTAAATTTGCCTCCAGTGTTTATTCAGGTTTAATAACTTAATAGTCAGTGTAAAGTCCTACATTCTGCTTTTTTTTTTTTTTTGAGACGGAGTCTCGCTCTGTTGCCCTGGGTGGAGTGCAGTGGTGCAATCTCGGCTCACAACAACCTCCACCTCTCACGTTCAAGCCATTCTCCTGTCTCAGCCTCCTGAGTAGCTGGGACTACAGGTATGTGCCACCACGCCCAGCTAATTTTTGTATTTTTCATAGAGATGGGGTTTTGCCATGTTGGCCAGGCTGGCCTCCCAAAGTGCTGGGATTACAGGCGTGAGCCACCACACCCGGCCCATTCTGCCTTTCTTCCTTTTTGAGCCAGGCTCTTGCTTTGTCACTCAGGCTAGAGTGCGGTGGCATGATCCTGACTCACTGCAGCCTCCAATTCCCAGGCTCAAGTGATCTTCCTGCCTCAGCCCCCTGAGTATCTGGGACTACAGGAAAACGTCACCACACTTGGCTAAATTTTTAGTTTTTTGTAGACAGGGTCTGGCTATGTTGCCCAGGCCGGTCTTGAACTCCTGAGCTCCAGCGATCCTCCCACCTGAGCCTTCAAAGTGCTGGGATTACAGGTGTGAGCCATCAAGCCCAGCCTCATTCTGTTTTTGTTTATAATAATAAGTTTTTCAACTTTCCACAGTCTTTGTAACTATCAAATTCATTTTATTTATTTACTTATTTACTTATTTATTTATTTATTTATTTTTGAGTCAGGGTCTCACTCTGTTGAATTTAATCTTCAGAACAACCCTATAAATAAGTTATGATTAGCCCATGTTACAGCTGATTAAAACAATGCTCAGAGATCCCATAAGGAAGATGGGATTCAAACTCACGTTTTTATTACACCATACTATCGGTAACTTAGCTGTTCTGGTACCACAGGAAAAGGTAGTGAACATTCCTAATGTTTCAAGGCAGCTGGATCACTAGCACTAGGCTTCTCAAGATTGGAAATGACCAGGAAGCTTTATCTACAGGAGAGGATTCGGCGTAAATCTCTTCACCTCTGCCTACTCCAAGACTGCAAGAACTGTCAGTCTCAAACATGTCCCTCCTCATCACAACGACGACAGTGCCAAACTTCCAGGCACTCAGGTCAAAACCTTGGACATATTCTTTTTATTTTTTTGAGACAAAGTCTCACTCTATCATCCAAACTAGAGTGCAGTAGCGCATCTTGGCTCAGTGCAACCTCCACCTCCCGGGTTCAAGCGATTCTCCTGCCTCAGCCTCCCATGTAGCTGGGACTACAGGTGTGTACCACTACGCCCGGCTAATTTTTATATTTTTAGTAGAGACAGGGTTTCACCATACTGGTCAGGCTGGTCTTGAACTCCTCACCTCAGGTGATCTGCCCACCTTGGCCTCGCAAAGTGCTGGGATTACAGGCGTGAGCCTCCGCGCCTGGCCAAAACCTTGGAAATATTATTGACACCTCTCCCTCATACACTGTAAATGTATGAGGCTCTACCTTCAAAATATATTCAGAATCTGACCACTTCTCACCTACCTCCACCAATTCACACTCGAGTCTAAGCCCCTGGATTTCCACAACAGCCTCCCAATTGGTCTCTCGGCTTCCACTCGTTTGCTGCCATGAAGTCTACTCTTATTACAGCAACCAATGATTTCATTAAAACACAGGATGTCACTAGTCAGCTCAAACCCTCCAAAAGGCCTCCTATCTCACTGAGTGACCCCTAAAGTTCTCACAATGACTTTCTGAGCTCTACAAAGTGCATCCCTTTCTTAGCCCCTCTTATTTTTTATTTTTTGAGACAGGGTCTTGCTCTGTCATTCAGGCTGGAGTGTAGTGGTACAATCACAGCTCACTGTAGCCTCAGCCTCCCGGGCTTAAGGAACCCACCCACTTCAACCTCCTGAGTAGCTGAGATGTCAGGCGTGCACCACCACATCCAGCTAATTTTTTAAAAAATTGTAGGCCGGGCGCGGTGGCTCATACCTGTAATCCCAGCACTTTGGGAAGCCAAGGCAGGGGGATCACCTGAGGTTGGGAGTTCAAGACCAGCCTGACTAACATGGAGAAACACTATCTCTACTAAAATTACTAAATTAGCTGGGCTTGGTGGCACATGCCTGTCATCCCAGCTACTCAGGAGGCTGAGCCAGGAGAATTGCTTGAATCCAGGGGGCAGAGGTTGCGGTGAGCCGAGATTGCACCATTGCATTCCAGCCTGGGCAACAAAAGCAAAACTGTATAAAAAAAAAAAAATTTTTTTTTTGTAGACACAGAGTTCCTCTATGTTGGCTAGTCTCAAACTCCTTAGCTCAAGCAGATCCTCCAGCCTCAGCCACCCGAAGAGCTGGGATTACAGGCACGAGCCACTGCGCCCCAGCCTAGCCCCACTTCTATCATTCCCCTCCTCCTCCCTAGCCCACTGATCTAGCTCCTGAAACCTCCCAAGCACAGCCATGTTCTCTCTGCCTAGAATGCTCTTCCCCAGGCATCCACGTGGCTTATACCCTCACGTTCTTCAGGTCTTTACCCATCCCCATAAGCCATCTTCTCAGTGAGATCTTTCTGACCAGCCTTTCAAAAACCGCCTTGGTTTTTGTCCTCCCCCTTGCCCTACTAACAACTTACCCTCTTTATTTTTCTCCACAGCACTTATCACCA